TGCAGCGGTTTCCAACCTTTTTTTCCTTGCGCCCCCCTTTTGAAAGAAAAAATATTGCGCCCCCCCCTAAATTTTTTAACAATTTAATTTAAATATACTTAATTGAAATTATGATTTATTTAATCTCGTACCAAATAATGCACAATATACATACATACAAAATAACATACAAAACATACAAAAATATACATACAAAAATATACATACAAACATAACTATGGATTATAGGAAAAAAATAATTTTAAATTTAATAAAAACAAATGATATAATATTTCACACAATATTAAAAAATTAATGCGACGGTTGAGCTTGTTTTTCAGCACAAATTTTCTCAAACCGCGGCTCCATTGTAGAAATCGCTGTTCTCAGTTCCTTTTCTATCACTAAACGAGATCGGTACTTTGTTTTTATACTGCTACTGCAGAAAAACCAGTTTCACATAAGTAGGATGTCACAAATGGTAATAAAATTTCTAAGGCTTTATTTGTCAAAGTTGGAAAATCGTCCTTTACTTGTAACCAAAACTTAACAATATTCTTTTCGTCCTGAAACATCTGCTTCAATGTGCTATCACTAGATAAATCAATTATCATTTCCTGCTCTGCCGTTGGAAGTCCAAAATTATCATATTTATCAATAACAAATGGATTTCTAATCCATTCGTATTTGAACATATCTAGATCTTTGAAGTAATGCGCAAATTGGTTCCTTAAACTAGTCATATGATTGATAATAAGATCTTTACTTGCTTCTATTTCATCATCATTAACACATGTAGTTTTAAAAGAAGGAAACATATCAAAGTTATTACTTTTCATACTAGCTATCCACAGCTCTATTTTTTTCATAAACGCCGTAATCTTGTCCTTTTGAACAAAAGCATGAATTTGAGTTCCTTGCATTGATTTATTTAAATCACTTAGTCTTTTAAAGATGTCAACTAGATACGCAAATTTGCGAGAAACTTCGTGTCATAAAATATGTCTGCTTCATCTCTTTATTATCAGCAAGAAAAATGGCAATTTCTTTTTTGAGCTCAAACACCCTTTGAAGTACTTTAGCACGAGAAAGCCAACGTGCTTCACAATAATAAAGTAGTGCTTTGTATTCTGAGCCCATGTCATCACACAATTTCCAAAAAGCCTTTCTCTTAATGGACTATTTTTGATAAATTAACAACTTTTATTATAATTTCAAATACTTCAAGTAATTCTTCACCCATATTTCTTGCAACAAGAGATTGCCTATGAATCATACAATGCGTCCAAACTGCACGAGGAGCCACTTTTCGAACTAGGGCCTGCAGACCAGCATTTTTTCCTGCCATAGATGGAGCTCCATCAGTGCACAGTCCAACACAGTTCTCCCATAAAATACCATTTTCAAAAAAAAAGTTATCAATCATATTAAAAATTTCACTCGCCGTAGCTTTGCCTTCAATTGTCTTACAGAATAACAACTCTTCTCTAATATCATTTTCCATAACATATCTTATATATGTTATTAAGTGTGCATCCTTAGCAACATCGGTAGCCTCATCTACTTGCAACGCGAAAGAAGATAATTTAATTTTTTCTATCAACTGATCGCAAAGATCATCAGATATATCTGATATCCGTCTTCCCACCGTATTATCTGCCAGCGGAATGCTTTTAATTTGATCAGCATATGATTCACCAAACATCGTAGCTATTATGTCAATAGCTGCTGGTAGCACTAAAGTTTCTCCTATTGAATGGGGTTTTTTGCATTTAGCAATTCTATACGAAACTTTGTATGACGCAAGTAACGCTCTTTGTGATACAGACAAAGCTTTTGAAAACGATTCTTTCTGTTTATTTAAGTTATCTAATTTTCTTTGGAAAAATTCTTTTGTTTTGCCAACATGATCGGCGTGCACTTTTTCCAGATGTCGTTTTAATTTACTTGGTTTCATGCTATCTGAGGCCAAAGTATTCATACACAGCAAACACATTGGTCGTTCTTGACCATTAATGATCTTATACGTAAATCCCAATGATAAGTACATTGGATCATATTTTCTATGTTTAGTTTTACTATTTTGTGAAGAAACATTTCCATTATTTTCACCACCCTCTTCTTCTGCTTCATTAAATTTTCTTTTCAACCCAGTCACGTATTTATCCATTACAAACGGTTTTTATAACAAATCAAAGAAAATCACTTTTTCACTACTTTTCACAATAATTCCTGGCTAATAATGTGCTAAAACTAAAGCTATAAATTTTAACTCAATTATAATTTAGAAATTATTTTTTCTATATATCAACGCGTGTATCTCCAGCACAACTAATGAACTAATTCGATTTATAGATAACAGAATAAAAAGGATGCATTTGTTTATTTACTTAAGTTAGTCTCGAGTAAGCACGTGAATATTCGATATGATCCGAGTGTTTATCTTTTGTTTATAGGCCTACAGCTCACTCAACTACAAACGCAAAAACGAAATATTTTGAATGCACCAAAAGTATAGTATATTCATGCTTTTACATTTGTCCTGACAAAATTGCAGCGAAAATTGTAGATAACTTGCATACATTTTGCTGATTTGTTTTTGACACTTACTCAGCATTTAACAACCATATTTTTGAAAGAGCTTCGCGCCCCCCCTGGGACGGCACCGCGCCCCACCAGGGGGGCGCGCCCCACAGGTTGGAAATCGCTGCACTACTGTAAAGATTGATATTATTTCATTTGTGTGAATTTGCCATTACTTGCATAATTAAAATATAATAATTTTGTATGTGTATAAAACTCGTTGTGTAGTTTATTTTGATAATAATTAAAATCTAAATCGCGTATTTATTATCTAAATGAGTTTTTGATATTTCATGAACAAATTTGCTCTCAGCGCTTAGTCAAAAATAAACAAACACTCAAGACCCATACGCACTGCATCTCCATAAGTCGATACGCTAAAACACGGCCACATGTTTCGAACTCAAGCCGGAATGATTCAGTTTGAGGAACTCGGATAAATTCATACCGACTTGAAGTCGGGATGAGTCGGTTTGAGTCATAGGAACTCGAATCAATTCATAACGACTTGAAGTCGGGATAAGTCGGTTTGAGTCGTAGGAACTCGAATCAATTCATAACGACTTGAAGTCGGGATAAGTCGGTTTGAGTCATAGGAACTCGAATCAATTCATAACGACTTGAAGTCGGGATAAGTCGGTTTGAGTCATAGGAACTCATATCGACTTGAATGCGGTTAAAGTTATATAAATTGGAGTCGGGTGATACATTTAAGCGTATTAAAGGCGGGTGACTCGCATGATTTAATTCAAGATTTATTTTTTATATTTATTATTATTATTTTTTATATTTATTATTATTATTATTTATATTATTATAATATTGAATTAAATTAAAACTTTTTTTTATATTTATGAAAATTTGTGTTCATACATGTACACAGTAAATATTTCGCGGCTTGATACGAGTTGATTCGAATCAAGTAAAATCTGATTCGAATCAAGTCGTTAAAGGCTTGATTCGAATGATTCGAATCACTTGATTCGACTTGGCACATCACTAGTCACCACCAATGATAAATTTATTACCTAATTGAGAGAAAAAAGAAGAAAACTGAGCACAAGAAATTTTGAATCTTGGTGGACAATAAACAGCAGAAACACAAAAATTATATAAATTTGTTTCAACAGAAATTTGAGTTGCTTGTAGAAAATCATCAGAAATATTTGGTAGAACAAAATGCTTTATATTATTTTTGATTAATATAGCCGAACCGCCGCGAGCCCTGCCACTTGGGTGATTTGAATTATAAGTAGTGTAGTTATAAATTTTAAAGTAGTTTTTTTCAGTGAAGTGAGTTTCTGAGATTAATAAGATATCTATTAAGTTTAACTTTAAAAAACATTCTACTTCATTTTTGTGAGGTATTAAACCGTTGGCATTCCATTCAGCAATTTTAATTATTTTTGCCATTGCTTTTGTTGTTGACTAACGTGGATAACATATTTATTATTATGGTGTTCTGTTGCAAAAGCTGATTGAAGATATTTTTAAATTCTAAAATAAGTGTTGCTAGAGAATCAGAATCGGGATTTGAAGGTGAATGATTAGAAGAAGCAGAGTAATTGTTTTTTGCAATGTCTGCATAGGATGAATTTTGAATTGTTGGATTTAAGGCCGGAGAAATGTTGTTTATTTTATTATTAGAATTAGAATTATTAGAATTTTTAAAATTTTGGTTATTTGGATTTGGATTTATGACTGATTGATTTACTGGAGTTTTGTTTCTTTGTTCTTTAATTTTTTGGAAGTATGAGCAACCGCGATAATTAGCTGGATGAGCACCGTCGCAAAAATAACAACATGCCGGAGCATTCGGATCTTTGGTACAAGCATTAGTATTATGATTGTCTCCGCATTTTAGGCAAGCAAATGGTCTATTGCAGTATTTTTTGGTGTGGTTAAAGAGTTGACAGCGAGTGCATTGTATAATGTTGTTGGACTTTCTCGGTGGTTCGACGCGTATTATGCAGTTGAATAATTTATAAATGTTATAAATATTTTTGTTATTTCTATTTGGTTCCAGATCAACAAAAAACATATTAAGAGGTTCTTTTGTTATTCTATGTCTAATATTTAGGATATTACGTACGACATGACCCTGTTTTAATAGTTCTAATTTAATTGCATCTGTGCTTGTTGAAAAGTGTACATTTCTAAGAACAACCCTATAAGCCTTCTCTTCTTTCAATTGATATGTACGATATACGGCATTAGTTTCTTTTAGATGTCTGGATAAAGTTCGAAAATGGTCGACAGAATTACATAGAATTTTAAATGTATTGTTAGCTAAACTTCTCAGGAAATATTGATCGTGCGGAATTATTTCATTTAATTGATTAGACATAACATTAATATCGTCAACTCCGTAAATAAATATTGGAGGGGGCTTACTGACTGGAGCCGGTTTAACTGAGATGTCATCATTAGCTGTTTCTATTGTTGAAAGGGCCGAAAATCTGTTTTGAATTTTGACATCTATTCCTAATGGTTCAAATGAAGTTTTTCTTTTTTTGAAATTCACTACTTGCCATGAATTAGGAGGTTTCTTGACATCAGAATGTGGTTGAGTGAGGCTTGTAGATGCACTATAACTAGATGATATTACTTCCTGTCTTGAGTCAGAAACTGATGAAGTTGAACGCAGCGAGACCTTTTCCGATGTAAACATATTGGTCCGACCTTCTTCGCGAGGTATCTTGCTGTATTTGCTGGATCCAATAACGGTCTTTCGTACTTTTGGGATTTCTGATGGTTTACTGTCCGATTCCATATTCGCTTCTATATCTTGATTGAAATGTAAGACATTTTTTTGATTCCACAAACGCACATTAGAGTCTCGATTATGTATGGTTTTTTGTAAGCAATTATTTAATTATCTGTACACTTTTGTAAGCTTTCCATGCAATTTTAATAAACCGTAAAATTCAATCTGACATGCACCAGTCCGGAAACGTGTTTTTAATTTTATCTTATAAGTATTATAAAAACAATAAACCCCATTAGTTTGTCTATATATTGTCAGTACAATCAAACTGGAAGTTTTATTCACTTTCTATAGAAAACATAGTATAATTTATACCAAGTCTTTTTTGGTCTTTTGACTTGTTGATTACGTTTCAAGTTTTTCAGATTTTTTTGGGTTCTGGATTTTGTGTATAATTGTAAATAATACTACTCAGCTTATACAAAATATTCAAATTTTTGCGAGGAGAGATAGAAAATGAATTAAGTATTTCTTCTTTAACCTGCTTTTTAAAATGTTTCAAGTAACATTCGATGAATTGTAGTGAATTTAATAAAAAGTATATTTGTAGAGCAGGTCGAGACACAAAGATCCAATTTGACGTTGAGCAAATATAAACTATATTGTGAAAACCATAACAATTATATCACAACAAATAACACATATCAAACAAACAATTATCTGACTACGTTTAGTAAACTCTGTCTTCTACTTCATCATTGTAGAAATGTGCTTTTTTGATGTCTTTCAAAAATTTGTTATCTAAACCTTTTTACCCTATAGGCGAGGTAACTTGAAACGGGAAGGTGGCAAAAAGGTTTAAAGCCTTATTATAATTTTAAAGGTATTTTACAAAATAATTACATTTTTAACTGATACTAAAAAACTACCAACAGAAGAAAATACTTATATTATAGATTTTCAAAGATTACCGTTTATTTCACCCATTTTAAAGATTACCGTTTTCAATTCAAGGTTATAGCAGGTTATACATCTTTTTTCCTCTACTTTCAAATATTGTTGTTAAACAATGCTTAAGTTTACTGATTTTTGACACATCGGTGGTGGAACTTTTTAACCCCGGTCCTTCATATACTACTATCTATTCTTCGATAAATTCTGGGAAATTATAACTGGGAAAATGTTATTCGACAAAATGTCCCTTTGATCGATACCAAATTGAGGTTCGGAATTTAAATAACATAAATAAAAATAATATAACCTAGAAAATGTTTTATAAATACCAATGAGTATATAATGATACAAATGAGATCTTTCAGAGCATCGTGTTTGAGAAAAATATGCCAAAAAGTGCATTTTCATATTAACATTTCAAAAAAGTTGATATTTTGAGTTTCTAGTAGCACTTGCGGCCCGTTTACTAACATTTTTGTATGAAAATAAAACTACAAACAAAACTACTTGCTACAATTTAATCATAATTAAATAATATTCACGTAAAACATCCTATTAAACATAATCGAACATCATCTGTCAAAAACGTTTGACATTTCAAGTATTAGCCACCGTCGATTGTTTTATTTACATTACGCTTCAACAAAAATTTTCAAATTATAAATGTAAAGTTTCTACGCGGATTTGAAATAATTTCTCACCTTTTGGACATTCTCTGGATTGGCACGAATTTTTCAAGACTAAGACTGGCCAAATCGATTCAGCCGTTTTCGAGTTTTATTCGGACATTTGAAAGAGAGTTCCATTTTTATATATAAGATATATATATATATATATATATATATATATATATATATATACACACAATTTGGTTCATAAAATGTTTATTGAATGTGAAAATAAGTTCAATAACGCATTCTTGCCTTCAAAACCTCAAACAACCAAAATACTAACAAATAAATTTAAGAAATCGCTAAAAATTGTTTTATACAATTGTATATAAAATATTTAAAGGCTGGCACAGTGCATGCACAGGAATATTTATAAAATTATAATATAAATAAATGTTCTATACTGTGGAGTAAAAATTTCGTCATGATATTAAGGGAGCAATTCTGCCTAATAAAATAGCGTTGTCATAGCAACGCTATCTTATGCTTGTTCTTGGTATTGAAAATTATGAAAATGTCTATCACTTTGCTGTGCGATCAGGCGTATTTTACATATAAACAAGCAAGGAATAATGTTATAACAGAATTCTATTTTTTTTTTAAATTACAATACCTGTAATAACTGCTACATAATATAACATCTAGTAGCATATGTGAATAATAACATAAATATAAATAAAATAGAGTACAAGATAAAGGATAGTACACCTAAGTCTGTTTTTACACGGTTTGAAAATTGAATATTTTTAATTTTTTTACACGATTTTATTCCATTTAGCACGATTTGAAATTTTATGTACTTAAATTTATTTTGTCAAATTTAATTTTTGCGAAGTATGTTCATATCACAAAAAAGTATTGTATTAAAGTCTGAAACCATCGATAGTATCGATAGTTTGCGAACACTAGCTTAAAGATTTAATAAAATAAACATGAATTCTTGTTTTTCACTAATTTTAATAGGTATCTCTAAAGATTAGGAACAAATCACCCATTTTTGTATAAGATCAATGTCTTTTTTTACACGTTTTTTTTTACACGGCTTCTTCTGGAACCAATCTACCGTGTAAAAACAGACTTAGGTGTATTTTCATCAAAATGATATGCGTATTATGATGATTTAAATATAAATAGAAGCAAATAATGATGATAATAAAATTAATAAATAAAATTATTGAATAACAAAAATAATACTAGAAAAACAATAAAATAGAATAAAAACAGTAAGTGGCAAATAATAATAAATATAACAAAACAGAATTCTAAATGGTGCAGTTTTTATAAGATTTTTTCTTGCTTGTTTAGGGGGCGTCCATTGATCACGTAAAGTTTTTAGGGGGGGATGGGGTTTGACAAAAAATCAAGAAATATCACGAAGGGGAAAGGGGTATAATAAGATATCACGTGTATTTATTTTTTACCTGATTTTAAAAAAAAATCCAAACTTTTAAAAAAAATCAAAAATATTAGTTTTTTCTTGTAACTAAAAATACATGTAATGTGTTTGATGGAAGGTTTTCTGGGGTTCAAAAATCCTTAAAAAATCGATCACGTGATTAATGGGCGCCCCCTTTATACGTAAAACTCGCCTGATAAACGGCAAGTAGACATTTTCGCAATTTTCACTGCCAATAAATAAGTATAAGGTAGCATTGCCATGACAATGCTATTTTATGGGGCAAAATTGACCAGTAAAAGAAAATTTCTGATATAAATGTATGCTCAATCAATTTTAATATTGCTGTCGTCAGTTTCAACTAATGAGAATGTGATGATTATTATAATTGTTAAAGATTATTAACAAGTTTTTATAAGTAAGTTTATACATAATAAAAACAAATGTGTGTACAAATATTTTATATAATGTATTTAAAAAAAATTACAAGACTTTTTTGGCTAAAACTTATCTGTATTCTTGTTTTAAAAATCATATTACAAAACTTATTTGTATCCATTACAATAAACCTTGCCGCTTCAAGTCCTCGTACGTTTCCCTGTTCACAACATTTCCAAGTGAGTCCTCAAATTCTTCGTCTTGTTCCGGGTGCCATCTTTCACCTTGCTTTTGATTTTTCAGTTTCTCCCACAGCGCTAGAGCGTCTTCGATTTGGGTCACATTTGCAAAATGGGCGGTGTTGGGGATTCCTAGACAACGCATGCCGTAGGCGTGACGCCATTCTGCAAAATGCCTTTGGAAAGCTTTGGGTATTGAAAAATATGTTTGAAATTTACAAACCTTTGTAAGTAAAGTTTCCACATATTTCATAATTGTAGCTTATATTCAAGCCGTGCAGCCGTCTAAGGTATGGAATTGGTTTGCCGTCCCATTCGAGTGGTAGCTTTTTGGGATTATGCGGTACATCATCAGTATCATCTTCATCTGATTCACTGGCGCTTGCTTCAACATCGCTATCATCACGTTCACCTTCGGTACGTGCTTGTTTTCTTTGTACATTCTCCTTTGTAGCTATTCTTTGCTCGCTTAAAATATCAGAAAATCTATATATTTGTGCCTCCAAAAACGCTATTTCTTTTTGTCGCTCATTATCTTTGGATTGCTCTTTTCCTTGTTTGTTTATTAGCTAATAAATTAGAATCAAAAGACTTTTTGCCTTTTGTTGAAAACAGTCTTTGTGCACGATCTTCCAATGTACCACCGCATTTCAAACCTAAAGCTAACAGGGCTGATTTTAATCTATCTAAACCTAAAGACGCTAATTCTTCCCAACTGGAAAACGAGGATAAATCTAAATGTGCACTAATGTTTGTCAAAGCACTACCTGCTTCTTTGGGCCAACCAGGAAAACTACCGTTCTCCCATTGTTCAATAAAGTCTTTATGGACCGCATTCAGTTCCTTTTCAATATCCAAAAGCGGTTTTATCCTTGTGATATAATCATGCAAATAATTGAGCAACATTTCTAAATATTTGCGGTACTCGGAATTCTTACGGTCTTTCGGGATTTCAAACAAGTGATCAAAACTTGTTAAATAGGATATGTAATCGATTTTGTCAATGTTTTTGAGGTTAATATACTTTTCGTAACATTCGTGTAGATCTAAATATTTACCATAACCTTCTTCGTCGGTGAACTCTACGAGATTTGTGTATTCTTCTGAGGTGTTATTACGCATGTTATCTAACTCTTCGAATTCTACGCAAAGGGGGACACTTATCTCGTGTGGGTGCTTTCGGTAGAACTCTTTGATTTGTTTTAGACGGTTGTAGAATTCATTGAACTCGTTTGGGCCTGACAGAGCAGCGACTTCATCTTTTCGGGCGCCGTCTTTATCTTCGTATAATTCTTTTAGATTTTTTGTACTGTTCATGTGGTGATCTAGCAGCATTTTTAATCTGTGATCGGAATTTATATTGTCACGTACTGTTGTTTTCTTGAAAATCATTTCTTTAACCATTGCATCGACTAAACGTTCGCGTTCCTCGTGGTAACGTCGCTGTTGCTCGAGTAATGTCTCCATGATAATTGTAATTAGATAAATAATTGTTTATAGAATGTAAATTAAATAAGCAACATATTTTATATATATTTTTTTTGAGAATAATATTTCGTCGGCAATTTTAATGAAAGTAAATTGTCAAACACAAACTTTGAGAGAACGATTGCCAACCTAGCAGGTTATTTAAGCTTCAACATGTCAGCGGCAAATACAAAAAACTAATATTCAAATTAAATGTTTTCGAAAATATTAAAACATACTCGATTTATTTTAGTTAGATCAATATATGCTTATTTTATACTTGTTTATCTATGAATATATTTATATATTATCAACTTAAATATATCGTCCATCATATATTATTTATATTTTAAATTAATTTTCCCTTACATGTTGTCTCCTATCATGTTACCATCCTGTCTCTTGCATCTCGTTACGTCCAGAACTGTCAAATACTTTAACGAAAATTTGTGAGGTTAAATTTACATTTTGTGCAAAAATAATATGTATTTTTTTAGTTAAAAGGTGCACTTAGAGTATAATGGAAGAGTTTTTGTTAAATTTTCATAGACAAGATATTGAAACTATATTGGAACATGATGATGACACCAAATACTTTTCACTGCACGTAAAGTACGTTAGGTTGAATTATAAATCACAATTGTAATGATAATTGAGATAAAGGACAGTCTTTGTATTTTGCTTTGATTTATGCATTCAATCATTTTTAATTGTTTTGACTAAATGCAGACTGACAAAACATTCTATATGAGTAGAAAAATGTATACGTATAGCTTTACAAATATCTACTTAAATACATTTAGATTTAAGTCAGTCATAGAAAAATGTCTGCGACTCTTAGTTCAAGCATTTAGCTTAAATATTTGCATGGTTATGTAACGAAAATAAAACCAGTTATTCTTATAAAGAAGATATATTGACCTCATTATGATTAAGTTAATTATTTACACAAAATCAGAAGTTTCCCAAAGAAATATATCATGTACACCTTTATGTTGTATTTGAATGCTGAAAACTTGTAAAACTAATGTTAACTCTTGCAAACTTTATCAATTTATTTATTCCTTCTATTCCATTTTCCAGCTTTACAGAATTGAACAACAGCGCTCCAGTCTTAGCGTCAAGTCTCCTCTTGCATTCTAGCCTCAGTTTAAAATTATGGAACGAAGCTCTAGTTGCAGCACAGCAAGAACTCTTAAATTCTATTCAAGGCGTTAGAATATATATGATGAGAGTAAAATCCAAAGTCCGAGTCAGATTTCAAAATTTGTATGCTAATAATGAATGCGACAACAAATTCTTTCCTAGTGAAAAGGATTTTGAAAAGTTTATACAATTCAAAGGTATAATTATACACATTTATTATATATTATATAATATATATATATATATATATATATTATTTTTTTATATAATATATTTATTATATATTATATTTATTATATATTTTATATATTTTATTTATAGGTACTGTGATAAGAATGACCCAAGCAAGGATGTTAGAGATTAAAAGAGATTACAAATGTCTTCGGTGTAAATATGTTGAGACAGTTCATGCAAATTGTAGCAAAATGTATTTAATTGAGCCGATAACCAAGTGTAAAAATCCTGAAGGTCAATGTAAGTCTTCCAAAATTGTTAGTTTTGATGAAAATAGACTTGGACCCGAGAACTGTATTGATTATCAGGAGTTGAAGATTCAGGTATATTAAAGAAATGATTGCTAATGTTATTAACTTTCTGAAGGACAAATTGTTAGAAAATCCAAATTACTGATTTAATGTTTAAAGTAACATCAAAATTAGTAAAAAAATGTGTATTTATGGGGGCCAAAAATAGACCGGTTACAATTTGGTTGGAAATAGCAAAATAAGAGAAAATTTGGTAACAAAATGTTTTGAAATGTTGAATAAATATAAAAATAACCTGGCACAACCTAATTAACTGTTTCAGAAACCTAATTCACTCTTATTTAGACAATATTTCTCATAAATCTAATATTTTTAGGAGCAAATGGGTCATCAAGGTGTCGGTTCATTACCTGCAACAATATGGATCAGTTTAGGAGAAGATTTAGTCGATACTTGTCAACCTGGAGATGACATAATTGTGTGGTAATTAAATTCGATTAATAACTGTATTTTTACATTAGTACATCTCATTTTATCATTATTTTATTTACTTTCAGTGGCATTGTGCAAAGACGTTGGAAATACATCACTGTGAACAGACATTTAGATGTGTCGCTGTCTATAAGAGCAAATTCTGTCACAGTTGTTACTAAACAGGATAATGATGTGGAAACAGAAACAGCCACAGACAGTTGGATTAAGAAATTTTGGTTTGATCACCGGGAGAATGGTAAAATGCTGCAAGCGAGGGATGTTATAATAAATAATTTTTGCCCAGAGGTAATAAAATTAAAACATTATTTAAACAATATGTAATTTCTTATCAATTTGTTTCACTTTTAGCTGTATGGAATGTATTTAATAAAACTGGCAGTCGTTCTTACAATAATAGGAGGCACATCAAATTCAAATAACTCGAAGCAGCTCAACACAAAATATACTACGAATAATGATGAACCGGTAAGGTGCTCCCAATTTTTGTCTACACAAAGAACTCCGTCGCAGGAAGACAAAGGTAGTGATGTTTCGGTACGTGGGCAGTCACATTTGTTACTCGTTGGAGATCCGGGGACTGGAAAGTCTGAATTGTTGAAGTTTGCACAGAAATTAGTGGCGAGGTAAGAACAATTTGTGTCATAAATTAATCTGTTATTGTAATAATTTTAATTTGCATTTCAGATCTGTGCTAACAACAGGAATTGGTTCAACATCTGCTGGTTTAACTGTAGCTGCTGTATGGGTAATTAAAATTTATTATTAAAATTAATATTCTATCTATAACTTCAGGTAGGGTAGTTATAGTAATGGGGCGAGAATCGAAAATGAAAATTTTTGCATTTTTCGACGTTTTGAAGGTTACTCAACATTTTGGCATACTTCAGAAAAAATGGATGTGTGTGTTTTGTATGTCCGCATTTTTTCGTCCACGTTTTCGGGCGCACGGATCAACCGATTTGAATGGTTTAAAAAACATTCGATCCCTATTGATAGGAAGATGTGCTGATTAGTTTTTGGCAAAGGCAGGTCCATCCGTTTTGGAGATACGGAGCAAAGAGTGCAGAAAATACAAATCGAGTTTTTGAGAGAACGGAGTATCGGATTTGGATGATCTAAAAAAACATTCAATGTGTAATGATTGGGAGAAGAGGTGATTAGTTTCTGGCAAAGGCAGGCCCAGCCATTTTGAAGATGCAGAGCTAAATGTGAAAAAAATGGCATTTTTTGAGTGAACTAAGCGTCCGATTTGAATGATCTAAAAAACTTTCTGCTCGTATTGACAAAACAATTGCTTTTGAGGATAAAAAATTATTACTTTTTTTTCCATAAAATATTTTTGTAATTTTGGATTAAAAATTCAAAAAATTACCCAGGCTAGGCACAGTCTAAGCGCCACTCTGGTACAAATGTTTACCCGAGTGCGTTTAGACTGTTTATGTATGTACTGGAGCACTTTTTCAATTTTGTGAAAAATATTGAAAAATGTGAAAATGCCGCCAAGCCAAGCACAGTATAAGTGAAAATTACGCACAGAATTATTTGCAAATGCGTTTAGACTGTGACTATACAGGAGCACTTTTTCAATTTTGTGTAAATTTTTGTGCAACTATTTTTTTGAAATTGAATTCGAAATGAAATGACGATTATTAATCTTTATTCTGGAGATAAATTGATTTAGGATTTACATTTGATTTGCTTAGATATAACAAGATAGCAAAAATGATGAAAGCTACAGTATTTGTAATAATATATTTGAGAACTTTTCATATTCCTCGAATATTTCATTACGGTACGGGAAGTTTCAGCAGTTTGCATTAAGGTACCATACACCACTAGTTTTTACTTATTCTGTGTTCAATTCTTTTCTTTACAGGAGTCCAGCGAATGGACCCTCGAAGCAGGTGCCCTAGTACTCTGTGATGGTGGAGTATGCTTCATAGACGAATTCACCTCGATGAAGGAGCAAGACAGAGCTTCCATACATGAAGCAATGGAGCAGCAGACAATCAGTGTCGCCAAGGCTGGTATGGTGTGCAAATTGAGCACTAGGTGTTCAGTTATAGCTGCAGCTAATCCGAGGAAAAGATACAATCAGATTGATAGCATTAGTGCCAATATCGTAATAGCACCACCTTTACTTAGCAGGTAAATACAAAATAACAAAAATAATTTGTCTTACCTAAGAAGCAGAATGAGATTAATTTCCTTTTCCTTTCAGATTTGATTTAATTTTTATCCTAAAAGATCTGCATGACGCAAAGTGGGATAGTCTAGTGGCCGATCATATTCTTTTTGGAGAGAAAAGTGATTTTGAGACTTCGGTGATTGACAGTGAAAAATGGACAGTCAAAATGTTTAAATCGTACTTTGAGTTCATAAAAAATATAAATCCTGTGATGACTGAAGAAGCCGAATTGATTTTGTCAGCTTATTATCAATACAAGAGGATGAGCCAGTATCGGGATGCATCCAGGACTACGGTGAGATTGCTGGATAGTCTTATAAGGTAAGAAAATATTTTTGTAAATATTGGTGATGGAGGTAACTTCAAAGATTGAAATTTATGCGCGAATCAGATTTTGTTTGACGGATTTTTTTTAAAGTCTTGGAATTTCTAAGGATTTGTAAAATGAAGCACAGTATAAAATTTTTGTGTAACATTTTTTATGAATGATGATTTTTAAAAAGAATAAGATTTTCTTATTTGCGTCGAGTTTTCGTGCTAAAAATACGACGCAAAGTGAATTAAGATTTGCTGTAGAAATCTTTATGAAGATCAAAACTATTATTATGCATTTTTACAACACATTTCAAGACTAATTTTCATAACTTACAAATTTTAATTTTTTTATAAATAAAAAAGTTAATCAAATCAGAAATAACGCCAAAATATTTATTTTCCTTTATTCAAGTATTTGACGTGCTATTTAGAATTTTTTATTTTTCCTGTTTGTCCTCATAAATTATCAGTGAAATATTTATGTAAAAATATACTCATCAATAAATAATATTAAAGTAATAAGAGGTTGGCAACTAAGTAATTTCACTTTCAAGCCAAGCTCCAATAATTTCCTACAAGTAGCTTAAGATTTGTGAGTCTAGTGCGACTTTTCTGGACGTCTCTGATGCTTTATCTATCAATTGATGGAATACATCAGAATTCATCATTTGTTCCTTGGAAATAAAATAAAAAATAACTTGCAAGCTCCAATGCTTTCTCTCACGATTTGCCAAAGATTTGTGAGGCTAGTACACCTTTCCTGGACGTTTTTTAGATGGTTTTATCTATTTTTATCGATTGTTGATAGAACACATCATATTTTTTCATTTGGTCCCTTGAAAGTAGATTAAAAATCATGGTTTTCTTACGAGTACATCAGGAATATATCACTCGGTCTCTTGAAAGTAGATTTTAAAAAATATCACTTGCAAGCTCCAATGATTTCTCTCACAAGTTGCCAAAGATTTGTGAGGGCAGTGCACTTATTCTGGACGTTTCTCTAATTGTTTTATCTAGTTTTATTAATTGTTGACTGAATGCATCAGAATTTATTATTTTGATCCTTGGAAATAGAATAAAAAATATTGCTTCCAAGCTCCAATGATTTTTGGTACAAGTTGCCGAAGTTACCTTTCTTAGACGTTTCTGATTGTTTTATCTCTCAATTGATGGAATTCGTCAGAATTTATCATCAGGTCTCTTGAAAGTAGATTTAAAAATATCACATCCAAGCTCGAATGGTTTTTCTCAGGAGTTGCTAAAGATTTGTGAGGCTAGTACACCTTTCCTGGACGTTTCTTTGATTGTTTTATCTAGTTTTATTAATTGTTAATAGAAAACATCAGAATTTAGCATTTAGTCCTTTGAAAATAGATTTAAAATTATCACTTCCAAAATCCAATGATTTGGTCCTTTGAAAATAGAATAAAAAATGTCACTTACAAGCTCCAATGGTTTAGAATAAAAAAATATCACTTGTAAGCTCCAATGGTTTTTCTCACGAGTTGCCAAAGATGTGTGTGGTCAGTGGCAATTCTGAATGTGTTTTTTCATGAAAATCAGAATTGATCGTTCGGTACATCACCTTTGTAATCTTATAAATTAACTTCCAATATGTCGTGGTGATTTTTGTTGATGCAAAGTTTTCGATGTGGTCTGTGTTGGTTCAAAAAATTTGTTTCATAATTATTTTCTAACTATGTTTCTGTACAAAACATATCTTTTATCACCAGCCATGATCATTTTTGAAAAGGAGCCGGTTTTTAGAAGGCGATAGTTGATCCTTATGTTCAATTGTAAGGTATCCACAATCCTCATATGGAACTTCTTAATTTGACCAAGACATTTTAAATGTTCTTCAATTGTTATATGCACTTCTTGCATCCTCTCGACTAGTTAAATGGCATTATTTAATTATATCTTTGATTTGGTCAACCTCAACTTCTGTAGACCAAGCGAAAGATTGCTCAACATAAAGGGGGGTTGCTCAACATTTTTAAAGAGTCGTAAAAGAAAGCAATTGATGTTTTTACTATCCATTTTTTACCACTTGTTTATTAATATTATTAAAATACAATACAAAAATTTAACTAGCTGTAAGTGGAATTCTGTCTTGAGGCAATTATGGCATCGTGCCTTAAGGCAAATTGCTGGAACTTCCCGTTGAATACTGAATGTTTTCAAATAGATTATTATAAATATTGTATCATTATCTAATATAAAATAATAAAATAAAATCTGAAATATTTTCGATATACAAAAAACTAAAAAAAAAAAAAAAGGAACAAATTTTTTTTTCCAAAATAAATTATTTTGTTAAGACAAGCAGAAAGTTCTTTGAATCATTTAAATCGGACGCTTAGTTCTCTCAAAAACTGCCATTTTTTACATATTTAGCTCCGTATCTTCGAAATGGCTGGGCCTGCCTTTGCCAAAAACTAATAAACACTTCTCCCAATCATTACTAATTGAATGTTTTCTAGATCATTCAAATCGGATACTCCGTTCTCTCAAAAACACGATTTCTATTTTCTGCACTCTTTGCTCCGTATCTCCGAAACGGCTGGACCTGCCTTTGCCAAAAACTAATCAGCTCTTTTCCCTATCAATAGGAATCGAATGTTTTTTGAACCATTCAAATCGGTTGATCCGTGCGCCCTAAAACGTGACTGGAAATTTGTATCCATACATACATACATACACACACACACACACATCCATTTTTTCTGAGGTATGCCAAAACGTTCAGAAACCTTCAAAACGTCGAGAAATGTAAAAATTTTCAATTCCTATTTTCGGCCCATTACAATAACTTACCCTACGGGAAGTTAAAAAAAAAGTTGAAAAATGATTACATCTTTTTTTATTTTCCATAAAATATTTTTGTAATTTTGGATTAAAAATTCAAAAAATTACCCAGGCTAAGCACAGTCTAAGCGCCACTCTGGTACAAATGTTTACCCAAGTGCGTTTAGACTGTTTATGTACTGGAGCATTTTTCCAATTTTGTGAAAAAACTATTGAAAAATATGAAAATGCCGCCAAGCTAAGCACGGTATAAGTGAAAGTGCCGCACAGAATTATTTGCAAATGCATTTAGACTGTGACTATACGGGAGCACTTTTTCAATTTTGTGTAAATTAGATTAGGCAACTATTTTTTTAATGAAATTGAATTCGAAATTAAATGACGATTGTTAATGTTCTGGAGATAAATTGATTTATGATTTACATTTGCTATCTGATTTGCTCAGATATAACAATAAGACAGCAAAAATAATGAAAGTTACAGTATTTGTAATAATATATTTGAAAACGTTTAAAATTTCTCGAATATTTCATTACGGTACGGGAAGTTCCAGCAATTAGCCTTAAGGCACGATGCCATACACCACTAGTTATTACTTAGTTGCCAACCCAAATACTACCACTAATACCCTCCTCTAACCCAATTATTATGATCCCAAAAGGTTATCGCAAGCCCACGCTCGTCTCATGTTCAAGAAACACGTTGAGGCAGTCGATGCAGTCACCACAATCATCCTGATGGAATACTCTATGCAATCGGATAACTCGAGTGGACATATTTCCATGGTCGACTTGCAGGATCCCATTAAAGCCAAAAAAATCGAAGACTACGAGAGGCTGCATCGACAGATTTTGGGCAAACTCGATTTGGAGGATTTGGTAAAAGATCAACGGGAGGATGAATCTTGTGGTAGTAATAATATATTGTCTTCACAAACACTTTGCAAATCCAGGTTTGAATCTAAGGATGAGGAGGATATGGTTGGGCTAAGCAACAAACCTAATTTTATAAAAGAACTTTTGAATTGTAGCCAGACAAGTTTTAATAAAAACAGTAATAGTAGTATGGTAAACAATTTACAAGGTTCTACACATTCTTCTGGTGAATCTGCTAATAAATCTAAAGATAATTGTAGAATTACTAAAAGTCTAAATGATAAGCCTGATTTTATAAAAAAACTTCTCAATCGTAGCCAGACAAGTCTTGATAAAAACAGTAATAGTAGTATGGTCAAACATTTAGATGGTTCTACACAATCTTCTGGTGAATCTATCAATAAATCTAAATGTAATGATGGAATAACCAAAAGTTTAAACGATAAGCCTAATTATATAAAAGAACTCTTCAATCGTAGCCAGACGAGTTTTGGTAAAACCAGTTATAGTTCTATGGTCAAACATTTAAATGTTTCTACACAATCTTCTGGTGAATCTGCTAATAAATCTAAGGATAATGATGGAGTTACCAAAAGTTTAAATAAAAAGCCTAATTTTATACAAGAACTTTTTAATCGTAGCCAGACAAGTCTTGATAAAAACAGTGATAGTGGTATGGTAAACAATTTACAAGGTTCTACACAATCTTCTGGTGACTCTATCAGTAAATCTAATGATGGAGTTACCAAAAATATTTCTATCACAGATGTTAGTTTAAATAATAAGCCTAATTTTATGAAAGAAATGCTTAATCATAATAAAAATTTAGCAATGGATGATCCTGGAGCCGATAAAGAGGATTTGGTTAAAAATATTTTTCTAAACAAGACGACAAATTTTATTGAAGACCAGGATAAATCTAAAATCAATGCCTTAAGCAGTACTGTTTCAGCCCAAATTTTAAGAAATAAATGTGAAGCTACCAAAGAAATTACTGAAGATATTTTTGACAGTAAGAGTCTTAGTATTACAAAACAAACCCCGAATAAAACTCCTGAGGATTCCAATGCATTGAAAAGTAATAATGATTCAATTGTAACTTCATCTTCAGATGATTTGTTAAACAAATGTAAACCTAATAACAACTCCAATAATTTTTTTTATTTATATATTTGTTATTAAAAATTTAATAATTTAATAATTGTTATTAAAAATTTGTTATTTGTTATTAAAACATAAATAAAAAAAATTTTCAGTATTGTCGATACTGAATTTGCATTGATGGTTTAGTTTCAAAATAAAATTTCCTTTAATAAATTTTGTTTCTTCTTGATGATTGCAAGACATATCAATTCTTGATACATGAACTTCCCGATATGTGTAAATAATCGACTTAATCAAAAAAAAATGTGTAAATAATATACTTCATCAATCCTACTTTAAAAAAACGATAATAATTTTAGCAAAGTTTGACGAATTTTTAAAATTAAACTACTTGTTGTAAGGCCGTAATATTACAGTAAGTTCTATAAGACCATGATGTATATCGCCAAAAAAAGTTCCATGAAAAAAGGCTTAAATTTTCAGCCTTTCAGCATCATTCCCAAATGATATCTTTCGAACAGTTTTTGATTTTTCAAAATCGGTTCGGTAGGATAAGCTTAAATGTGGACGAAAATTTAACACTTTTTTTCAACATTTAATTACAAGAAAACGGCTCGGTAGATTTTCACCTAAAATTAATCAGCATCATTCCCTAATGATATCTTTCGAACAGTTTTTGATTTTTTAAAATCGGTTCGGTAGGATGAGCTTAAATGTGGACGAAAAGTTTAACACTTTTTTTCAAATTACAAAGAAACGGCTTGGCAGATCGTTGCACAAAACTGACAAACGATAGTCCTCACCGAAATACATCAAATGGCTTTTAAATTTCTAAAATCGGTTCAGGCGTTTTTGAGAAAACGTCGATCAAAAGTCTAATTTTGACAAATGCCAAAAAGACCATACTGATTTTTGCAAACTTTGACGAATTTTTAAAGCTGAACCAGTTGTCGTAGGGCCGTAATATTTTAGTATGATCTAGAAGACTATGGTATCTATCGTCAAAAAAATAATCATAAAAATCGTCGAAATTTTTTTTTTAAAAACTTTATTACAAGAAAACGGCCCGGCCGATCTCTACCAAAAACTAATCAGCACGATTCCCAACCAATATCTTTCGAACGGTTTTTGAATTTTCAAAATCGATTCATAACTGCGGGCTAAAACGTGGACGAAAGAGTTTTCACTTCTCTGCTATTTACGAAGAAACGGTTTGGCCGATCGTCGCACAAAACTGACAAACAATAGTCCTCATCGAGATACATCGAATGGCTTTTAAATTTTTGAAATCGGTCCAGCCATTTTCGAGAAAACGTCGATTTACGGCAAAAAATCTGTTGGTGCACACGCACACACACACGCACACACACACACACACACGCACACACACACACATACTTTTTCCAAATTTGGTCTCATTCGATTCAGAATGGCTTGAAACGTCGAGAAAACATAAAATTAGCGAATCGGATTTTTTGATGAAAACATAAACTTCTCCTTCGGGAAGTTAAAAAATAGTGTGCATCATTTTTTGCTCTATGATATTGTGTGAAATGTTAACCTGAACCTCATTACATGTTTCGATGTGAGTGTTGTCTACTTGTAATAATTTTATTATGCATTCGTCATTATTTGATAGGATATGTTTAATATTGCAGAAATATATTTTTGAAACTGCTCTGCAATCTGCATCATCAAATTGATAGTTATTATTGCCAATTTTAAGGAAAGGTTTAGGTGGAATAATGACTCTATTTTCGGTATTTGGAATTGGAAACAATTTATAATGTTTATAAGTTTGGAGTAGATTATTATTATCATCCGTATAATAATATTGAATTTTTAATAAATTGTAATGTTTGTGAAGATTACTATCGCCTATGGAAAATGGTAGTGAATCTGTACTGTATAAATGCTTTATAGTATTAATCATAAAATTCAGATTATCTAATTTTATTATTGAATTATGAATTAAATTCATTTTAGCTAAATCTATTTATATTTTTATGTCACTTAAAATAATTGTCATCAATATAACTAAACTATAAATAATTTCTTCTAAACTATCTGGTTTATGAAAAGTGTCTTTATATTTTTTGCAAATTCTTAAAATAGCATTTTTCTCTTCGAGATTCATGTGGTCAGTCCGTATTAGGTTTTCAATATCGGAAAAATCTATATTTGAGTCAGATACAAAAATTATAAAATTCTATTTCATTTGTGAGTTCTACTTGTAAAGGTTTGGTTAATGTTAAGTTAATTTCGTTTTCTGTTAGGTTAGGAATTTCAACTATGGCTTCATTGTTTTTTGCTAATGTTACGGTATCTGGAATGAAACAATTTGGAAAATTTTGCCTTGTAATTAGAATTTCACCTTCTTTAATGTTAACTGGGACTTTACATTTTGAATGCATCTTTCTGGTATCTGTTGACTAAAAAGTATTTTTGCCGGACTTTTTAAATAATGTAAGTTTAAATTAGTATTGGGTAACACTATCAACCCATTATTTAAATCTATTATTGCCTTCAATTTTTTAAGATTATCAATACCTAATAACCCAATGAAGGTTTCATGAAATTTAAAAAGATGGAATGGCAGGTTTTCATTACCTTTGAACTCTTTAAAACTCGGAATATTACATGCAAAATTTCCTTTGTGTGTTGCTGAAGCAGTTTTTATTGTACAAGGGTCAGAGTAAATAAAATTTTTGAAATATTTGTTAGCGATTTCTGGACAAATGAAAGATTTTGTGGAGCCTGAGTCAATAAGAAATTTCATATTTGGATTTTGGATTTGTATGTATGAGAGTTGATATGTTACTTGAATATAATGAGCGATATTTTAGAAAAACTAACGATTGAAATAAATCATGCTTTTGATGATATGTTGGGGATGAATTTAGCTATCATGTGAATCCATTGTAAGCGAATCCAGCGAATTATTTAAAATAAAAGCGCTGGATTTAATTTTTTACAAATAATTTTCATTTTTGTAAAATTTTCAAATATTATTGTTTTCTCCTCGGTCCTACACTTTTCAAATATAGTTTTAATACATCAAAAGTAGCCAAACGTAACCATTTTAACTTCCCGTAGGGCAAGTTATAGTAATCGCAAAAAAATCGAAAATGAAATTTTTTATATATCTTTACGTTTCAGAGGTTTCTGAACATTTTGGCATACTTTAGAAAAAATGGATGTATGTGTGTGTGTATGTATGTGCGGATACAAATTTCGTCGACGATTTCGGGAACACGGATCAACCGATTTGAATAATTCAAAAAGCATTCGATTCGTATTGATAAGAAGACGTGCTGATTAGTTTTGGCAAAGGCAGCTCCAGCCGTTCCAAAGATACAAGGCAAAAAGTGCCGAAAACGGTAATTCAGTTTTTAAGAGAACGGAGCGTCCGAATTTAATAATTCAAAAAACATTTGACTTGTATTGACAAGATGTAGAATTGATCAAATTTCATGAAGGCAGGTCTTGCGGTTTCGGAGATCTAATGAAAAAAGCAAAAAAAAAAAATGCCATTCGGCGGTTAAAATGATCATTTGACATATGCACCTCAAATTATCAGATATTTTTTATAGAGATTTCAACAATAAGTATATTTTTTTACATTTCTATGGGTTCCGTACCAATGCTTATGCGTTAGACGGCGGCGCGGCACTTGCGAGCTTTGACATTTTGTCTCTATGCAGTTCAAGCAGTGCGATTGCTTTGAATAAAGTTCAGAATTTCCAAAATATGTCAAAATGAAGAAAACTTTTTCAAAAATTTTTTTGTTTCCAAAAAAAATTTTTTTTCTCAAAAAAAAATTTTTTTTTTTTCAAATAAAATTTTTTTTTCAAAAGAAAGTAATTTTTTATCAAATTTACAGTTTTCTCAAAAATCTATTTCTTCGAAGTAAAATTTTTCAAAAATCAATCGTTTTTAAAAAAATAATAATTTTTGGTACGGGAAGTTCCAGCAATTTGCCTTAAGGCACGATGCCCTAATTGCCTTAAGACAGAATTCCACTTACAGCTAGTTTTACTATAATGTCAGATAACGCTTTATCCGCGTCGCCGGTGGGAACCGCTGCGCCAGCTACAGCATCGTCGAGTGAAGCCGTCCCATCGAAGAAAAAGCGAGTGAGGGCGCCCTATCCTCCCATATACGTAATGGTCAACGACGCCATAGCAAGCCTGAAAAAACGCGGAGGATCGTCGCTGCAGGCGATCAAGAAATATATGTCGGCCAATTATAAAATCGACGCCGAGAAAAAATCAACATACATCAGAAAGTATTTAATGTCGGCAGTTGAAATGGGAACCCTCATTCATACGAGAGGCAACGGTGCTTCGGGTTCGTATAAACTTGCCGCTAGACAGAGGGGCGGCGAAAGCGGTGTTTCGGCTGGAAAAAGCTAGGACCGCTAAGAAGCCAGCGATAAAA